CATAGAATGCCTTAAACTCGTCAGAATCAAAGTTGGACCCATTATCTATGATAATGCTGTGAGGAACTCCATATCTGAATATCAACTCCTTGATGAAACTGACAGCGGTGCTTGCACCGAGGTTCTTGATGGGTCTAGCTTTGATCCACTTGGTGAATTTGTCGAGTGCTACAAGCAAATGGGTGAAACCACTCGCACCAGTCTTGAAGGGGCCAACCATATCCAACCCCCAGACTGCAAACGGCCAGACGAGTGGAATAGTCTTCAAGGCAGACGCAGGTTTGTGGGACATGTTGGAGTTGAATTGGCAGCCTGCACACTTGTCAACTATATCTTTTGCCATTTCGTTTGCTCGAGGCCAATAGAATCCTGCTCGGTATGCTTTGGCCACGATGGCCCGAGAGGACGCATGGTGGCCACAGGTCCCCGAGTGGATATCATTTAAGATCATTCGACCTTCTTCTGGGGTGATGCAGTGCTGAGCCACTCCTGTGACACTTTCTCTGTAAAGCTATCCTTTCATTACTGAGAAGGCTTTGGATCGACGGACTATCTGACGGGCTTCATCCTCATCTTCCGAGAGCTCTTTCCTGAGAATGTACGCAATGTATGGTACTGTCTAGTCGGGCGTGATCACTAAGACTCCCATGATCAAGTCAACCACAGCTAGAATCTCAATCTCAGTCGGGTTGGTTGAACTTATCGGTTGCGGGGGCTCTTCCTTGAAGGGATCCTCTTGTACTGATGGGGTATGGAGATGATCCAAGAACACATTGCTGGGGATGAGCTTCTGAGTGGAACCTATCTTCGCCACATCATCAGCCGCTTGATTCTTGAGTCGAGGTATGTGGTGGAGTTCTAACCCCTCAAACTTCTTCTCTAGCTTTCTCACTGCGTTGCAATAACCAGTCATTGCGGGACTCCTGACAACCCATTCCTTCATTACTTGATTGACCACTAAATATGAGTCGCCGTAGACCATCAAGTGTCGGACGCCAAGTGAGATGGCCATATGCAACCCATATAATAGTGCCTCATATTCAGCTTCATTGTTAGAAGAATCAAAGTGAATCTGGAGGACATAACTGAGCTTGTCTCCTTGTGGGGACACTAAGACCACTCCTGCGCCAGAGCCATTTTACATCTTGGACCCATCAAAGAACATGGTCCAATGTTCCGACTGGATTTGAGTCAGCTGTTGTTGTTCTGTCCACTCTGCAAGGAAATCTGCAACTGCTTGAGACTTGATGGCCTTCTTTGCCTCAAACTTGATATCTAATGGAAGAAGTTCAATTGCCCACTTTGCCACTCGGCCAGTTACATCTCTGTTATTCAGAATCTCTGACAATGGAGCATCGCTAACGACTGAAATAGTGTGATCAGAGAAATAATGTGCAACCTTCTTCATGGTTAGGTAAATCCCATAAACAAGCTTCTAATAATGAGGGTATCTCTGCTTGGACGGGGTCAAGACCTCTGAAATGTAATAGACTGGGTGCTGAACTTTGAAGGCTTTTCCTTCCTCTTCCCGCTCGACCGTGAGCACTGTGATGACAACTTGTCATGTGGCTGCGATGCAAACAAACAAAGGCTCTTTACTGACTGGAGCAGCAAGCACTGACTGGGTGGAGAGCAGGGCTTTGAGCTCTTCAAACGTTGCTTCGGCTTCGTCATTCCACTCGAACTTGTCAAACTTCTTCATCAGTCGGTAAAGAGGCAATGCCTTTTCACCAAGTCGGTAAAGAGGCAATGCCTTTCCAGCATTTTTGAGGCCAAAGGGCATGGTAACATAACAAAAACACCCAAATGGGGTGATGAAAGCTGTCTTGATCTCGTCGGGTCCAAACAGTCGGATCTGATGGTATCCAGAATAAGCGTCCAGAAAGGACAGTCGCTCGCACCCCGCAGTTGAATCGACTATCTGGTTGATGCGGGGCAGAGTAAAATGATCTTTCGGGCAGGCCCGATTGATGTGCTTGAAGTCAATACACATTCAAAGTGATTTGTCTTTCTTGGGAACCATAATGACATTGGTGAGGCACTCGGAGTGGTATATCTCGCGGATGAACTCAGCAGCCAGAAGCCGAGCCACTTCCTCGCCAATTGCCTTCCTCTTCTCCATGGAGGACCGATGAAGATGCTCTTTGAAAGGTTTTGCTTTTGAGTCGACTCGCAAACGGTGCTCAGCCAGTTCCCTGGGTACACCCGGCATGTCAGATGGCTTCCATGCGAAGATGTTCTAGTTCTCACGGAGGAACTGGATGAGCGCGACTTCCTATTTGCTGTCGAGTGTTGTTGAGATGCGTGTTGGAGCGGCATTGGGATCGGTTGGGTGGATGTGAACTGGCTTGGTATCCCTGGCCGACTGGAATGCGGACTCTGAGGCAGGTCTCTTAGCACGCAGAAAATCACTCGGAACTGCTGTCTTTTGATACTCTTGGAACTCCACAGTTGCCATCTGCTCGTCTACTATCTTTGCACCATCCTGAAGACAATCTTCTGCTTTTTTTTCTGGTTACCAGAGATTGTTATCACGCCTTTGGGGCCAGGCATCTTCATTTTGAGGTACACATAACATGGTCGAGCCATGAATCTAGCATACGCAGGTCTGCCCAGAATGGCATGATAAGCGCTCTGGAAATCCACAACCTCAAAGGTTAACTTCTCCTTGCGATAATTCTTTTCGTCGCCGAAAACCACATCAAGAGCAATCTGGCCGAGTGAATCAGCTTTCTTTCTGGGGATGACTCTGTGGAACCTCATATTGCTCTCACTGAGTTTGGACGTCGGAATGCCCATTCCTTTGAGGGCCTCGGCATATAGGATATTGAGGCCACTGCCCCCATCCATCAGAACTTTGGTCAGTCGAGTGCCCCCAACAACTGGGTCGACCACTAGTGCCTGCCGCCCAGGGGTAGCTACTCGTGGCGGGTGGTCCGACTGGTCGAATGTGATAGGTGTTTTTGACCACTTCAGAAATTTCAGTGTTGCCGGAGCAACCATGTTCACCTCTCTGTTAATGACTTTCAGTCAACTTCTGCTCTCGACATCAGCAAAAATCACCAAGGTGGCATTAACATGAGGATATCCATCTTCGTCCTCTTCCTTGTCCTCCTCCTTCTCAGAATCTTTATCCTTCTCGCTGGGCTGACCCTTCTTCTGGAAGCTCTGGATCAGGAGTCGACACTATCGAGTGGTATGCTTGGGGAGGATCATCCCCTCTTCGTCTTTCTTAGTGTGGATGGGACACGGCAAATCCATCACGTCATTTCCATCTTGATCTTTTACTTTCTTGGGATTGTAGGGCCTTTGGGCTTCCCTTTGAACTTTCCTTGATTAAACACTGCTGCCTCGGCAGGTCCTGCTGCCTCAGCCTTTCGCTTCTGCTTCTAACTGGAATTTCCTCCTCCTGTGTCTGGGCGACTATTTTGTGCTTACCACTCCGGAGTCGGTCTTCCTCTTCGCCGTTAGCGTACTTGGTGGCAATCTCCATCATCCGAGTCAGAGTCATATCTCCTGTCCGACCGAATTTCAGATTGAGCTCTCTGTAGTGAACACCCTCTTTGAAGGCACAAACTGCTTGGTGATCTGACACATTCTCCACTGTGTGGTGCAGAGTGATCCATCTCTGGACATAGTCTCTCAAGGTTTCATTCGATTTCTGCACACAATGCTGCAACTTTGGTAGATCGGCAGGTCTCTTGCATGTACCCTCGAATGTGCTATTAATGCCTTTGAAGACTACGGAGTGAATGCTTGACCGTTGCTGTCCTGTGCGACTCCTGGTCTTCAGTAGGTCGAGTGATTTCTTGGTCGTGTGACTTCAGGAAGGAGGGGCACCCGAGTGATTGACTTGTCGAGTGGATTCCACTCGACGCCTTCATTGGGCACTCCCTGTTGTCTCTTGAGCTTCTTTGCTTCTAGGATAGTGACCTTGGGTAGGGTATATAGATCATACCTATGACCCTACCCTATGTCTATATCATCATCAGCATCCACGAATCATTCTGAAGTCATTGCTTTGTATGGAGCATAACATGAATGTTTATGACTTCACATAATGATGAACTTTGTTGAAAGTTGAAGTGGATTCGTTCATTGAAACCATCCACCGTTATTCATGAAGATAATGTTGTTTACATTACGCCGATGCAAACATGTTATGAAGGACAATATTACAAAGTATTGCTCCGAAAGTATTTTCCTTAACCATGGGTTATACAGACGTGGGAAGATAAATATTTTGCAAACGAAGTCATACCATAATCTTGGTGATTTGTTCACAAATTATTTACGAAGTTCTTCATTCAAGAAATATGCTAAGTAGGAGATGACTTTGTGTTTTGCAAGATTCAAGAAGAGTTTGCTCTCATGCTAACATGTTCGAGATCTTTGGATATTTGCTATTGCACTCTCTTTTTTATGATTTTTTCCTAAATGTTTTTTTATATAAGGTTTTTAATGAGGCAATAGTAATACAAGCATTCTGATATGTCATTTTCTCCTTATTGTTTCACTAGGTTTTTGAAAAGAGTTTCTATGGCGTATTATGTATATCTTCTCATGTTTTTTCATAGGTTTTCGGAGGAATATTTTTCAAGATGATTTCTACATAGTCAAAGCAGAGAGTATGGAGGAGTGTTATGAATTAATTAGATATGATTAATTAAGGATAATCGCCTCTTGTAACTGTGGTGTCTTCTCTTTGCATCCCGCCGAATGGGTCTGTCCATTTGTTTCACCCTTTAGGACTAGTAGATATCATCATCAATGGAAAGGACAACTGTTCATTTTGCAATCAAACAATTTTCACATAGAAAAACCATGTCTCATACGAAATGAGTAGGACCAGCCTTCGAAATGAACTGCAGATTCGATCATTGGTCCATCTCACTCAACATCTTTTTTGGGTGTGTTTTCTAGGAATTAACGTGAGAGCTCGAAAGGCCGTTTAACCATTCAGACCACAACATGCGATTTGGCCGCATGATATATTATCTTCATGCAACCGGAAGAGAAGATCCTAACACCATGTCTTTTACCTTGATTGCCTGGAATCGAATAGAAAAACAACATATTGATGTCCCGAGAAAGAAAAATAATACAGTATTACGGTGCTATCCAAATCTCGGGTTCGTACCTCCTTCTCCCAGTTTATAGAAAGTACTATCCACATGAGCAACGGAAGCTTGATGAGGCTGCCGCAAACGATGCCGAGCCAAAGCCCCTGTTGGAAGCAGAATTAAGCGCAACAACTGGGGTTGTTGATGCATATTCATTCACATGGCCAGTGAAAGGATACGCTAATTAATGCTGTAATAAAACTTATACTTGCATTTCTAATTAATTGGGGTTGTAGTTTGTAGTGGAATCTCTAAAAAGACTTGAATTTAGGAACGGAGGAAGTACGTGCCATCCCGTTGAAATGCAGGGCGAATGCAAGCAGCACGGCCAAGGGGATGCCTGCCAAGTAGAAGGCGACGAGATTGACGCGCGCGCCGATCTTCTGCTCACCACATCCAGTTAGCACACCTGAAATTAATTAATGTTCAGACAAAGATCATGCATGCTGCCATCATATGTCCAGATTTCTTGTTAATCTTGTAGTACCAATAGTAGTATGCCGGCCCGGCCGTACCAGCAAGAGAAGTATGGATTCCGTTCATGAAGAAAGACATGGCGAGGACAGGTATCATCCTGGCGATGTATGCCACGACTTCCTCCTCGTTGCTGTACACGTAACCCCAGAATCTGCGTAGCAGAATCATTGTGACAGAGATCACCGAGCCTTCCAGCAGGGCCAGGCATACGACTAGTCTGGTCGCCAGCTTCGCTGCCTGAGGCCTACCGGCACCAAGTTCATTGGAAACGCGTGTACTGTATTGTATGTATGTATGTATATGCGGCCGGGAAAAGCAAAGAGAATAATCAGCATGCTATTCCACATTTTGTTTGTGAATTTCGTTTCGGGGTACAATACGATACGAATACGATACCTTATGGCTGTGCAGAGACCAGATGGCACCATGAACATGAGAGCGCCGGTATTGAAACTGCAGGATTCAATAATTAATGCACGACTTAGAAAGAATGAAAGGGCAAAAATTTGTGGAAATTGCACCTGGTACATGCGTGCAAAGGTTTTCTGGATATATATATATTACCATATGGACAATACTGAGGTTTCGAGCTTAGGGTTAGGCAGCAGACCGGAGAGCAGCGCAAGCAATTCAAACGACCACCACTCCAAGCTGCACATTCGAAAAGGTGCAAAAACAATTAATTAGTGAAACCAGACACGCATGCATCCCATCGACGATCAACAAGACTTGCTGACGATTTGATCTCTCTCACCAAACCATCATGGCCGACGGGAAGGCGAGCTCCGCGAACTGGCGCAGCTCCTTGAAGGCCTCCATGGAGAACCCTTTCCATGTCCTCTTACAAGCGCCGGACAGCCTCGTGTACATGGACAGTATAGACAGATTTGTGCAGTAGGAGATGGCCCTGGCCAGCGCCGCGCCTTTGCTCCCCATGCCCGCCTTGTGCACCAGCGCCCAGCACACGAGGACGTGGCTCAGCGACGTGACGGCGGAGCTGGCCATGACCGGCAGAAACCGGATGTGGCACGTGAGAGGGACGTACGGGACGAGGGACGGGATGAGCCACCGCGCGTAGGCACCGGCCTCGGCGGCGATGGCCCGGTCCTGGCCGAGGAACAGGAGGATCCGGGTGGTGTTGGTCCAGACGAGGGCGATGGGGACGCAGGCCAGCGCGAGCACCAGCATCGCCCGTTGCTTGTAGACGCCCAGGAGGTGGTACTGCCGCGCGCCGAACGCCTGCCCGCACAGCGTGTCCAGCGCGCTCGCCATGCCGGCCAACAAGCTGAAGCCGGTGACGTTGGCGAGGGAGGTGGCGAGCGACGCGCCGGCGAGGTGAAGCTCGCCGAGGTGTCCCACGAACATCACGGACACCAACTGCAGCGCGCACTGGAGGAGGCCACTTGCAACCAGCGGCCCCGCCAGCCGCAGCAGTCGCTTCGCCTCCGACGCGGCCACATTCTCGTCCCGCTCCACGAGCAGAGGCTGCTCGTCTACGCTCGGGTTCTGCATATTTTTGTCAGTCAGCTTTACTAGCTTCAGCTGAGGACTGGACGCTGGAGTAAATTCGTGAGGAAGCAGGGGACATGAAACGTACTGTATTTATTAAAAATCTCCAGTCCAGTGGTGGTTTGGTGGTGACCGGTTAAGCGTGGCCGCCAAGCATCAGACATTGGTGCGAGCAACCATGTTTTGATGCTTATGCACGAGGAACGTTATGTTAGATTGATCTCTTCTCCAATGGGCCCAACGGTTCATTGGGCCCTTGACCCACGCCCTGATCGGGGGCGTCCAGCCCAAGCAAGGCTGATGGGCCCCTGTCGCGCAGTGCTATAAAGAGGAGGTGAGGACCAGGGCACAGGGTATGAGGTTCGTCGCCACCACTGTTTCCCCACTCCTAACCCTATCCGATCCAGAGGGAAGCACTGAAGCGACGGGAAGCGCCACCAGCCACTCCACCGCCGCCGCTCACGCACTCTCTGCCATCACCGCCGTATCCACAACCACCGGCCACCGTCACCATGGCCGGCATCGGAACGTCCTCGAGCCACAAGAAGGTAAACACCTGAATACAGAGAATATCCCACTGATCTACTCCTAGTCGATCCAGTAAGTCTATCAATGGTATCTAGAGCCTGTCTAGTGATTACATCAAGTTGGGAAAGAAAGATTCGGAAACGAATCAAAAGAGAAAAGAAAACGATCACAGATATAATTTTGATCTCGAATCGAAGCAGAAAGAGGGAAAGAAAAAAAAAACTCCTCGTCGGAAAAGTTGCGCCACCGCAACGGCCGCGCCGTTCCTCTCGATTCCGACTCGCATCGGCATGCCGAGGTTTCGAGAAGAAGAACTCTACCCCGACCGGGGCAAAGGGCACCGCGGCCAAACCGTTCGACGGCGACGCGCTCACGGCAAGGCGAACGCGCAGCTGGCGAAGGGGATGGCAACGGCGCCACGGTCGTCGCCTCCAAGCGGAGCAGAGGAGGAGCGGGCGCGTAGGAGACCAGAGGGCTCGGTCGCGCCTCTCTCTCGCCCTCTCTGTCACAGGAGGAGGAAAGAAGGGGGAGGGCCAAAAGGAAACGCAGGCTCGTGCGGCGCGGCTCGACGCCGTCGCCGGCGGCCGGCGTGGCCCCAACCCGCTGCATCAGGAAAGCCGTTGCGCCTCTCTGCTCTCTCTCTCTCGCTCTCTGTTGTTGGACAAGGGAGAACTTGAAGGAGGTAAGAAAGAAAAGAGGCCAGCGCGGCCCGGTGCCGCTCGTCGCCGTCGCCGGCGACCGGGCACGGTGCGGTGGCCGGTCCACGCCGTCGTGGGCGGCCGGGGCGCTGCCCCCGTTTCGCCGCTGCGGGACAGAGACGAGGAGGAGAGAACGGCGCATGGGGGAAAACTGGCTAGGGTAGGATCGGATTGATCGGGGCGGCGGTTGTGTTCGACCGAACATCGCGGATAGCCATCCGATCTGATCCGACGGCCCGAGCAAACCCTAGCTCGCGCTGGGCCTGAATGGGCTGAAAGTGGAGGCATGGGGCAGCCGTCGCTGCGCCGTCGCCAGCCGCCGCGGGCACGCGTGCGGGGTGCTGGGCCGAGGCCGCGGCCGCACGCGCTGGGCTCCCCTGCAACTTTTTTTTTATTGTTTTCTTTCAGTACAGAAAATCGAAAAGAAAAAAGTCTCTGAAAAGTAAAATAAAAAGTTTCTGATAATTTTGATTGTTCAGAAAATAGAAATATTCTGAAAAGTAAAATACAAGTTTCTGAAAAGAAAATGTCCATGAATTTTATATAGAAAATAATAAAGTTCATGAATTTTTATTCGGTCAAAGAACAGTTTCTGTAAAGAGCAAAAGTTCGTGAATTTTTATTCATGATTTTCCGCTGCGTAAATAATTAATAGTACTCTTTTACAAAGAAAATAAAAGTTTAGATAGAATTAAGTATTTAAAGAGCATATTAAAGTAATTATGATTATGTTATTTTTATGACCAACGTTGTTAATAACATGATCATGTATTATTCTTGAAAATAAAAGTGCTCTTTTAAAAGTGAATAGAACTAAAGTAAAAGTTTAAACTGTTACTCCTCTACTCAAATTTGAACCAATGGGATAATTTGTTTAGAGAGTAGAAAAGTATACAGTGATGCTACTGAATAAAAGTAAAAGTTTTATTCTCCAATTAAATTGGAACCAACAGGAAAATTTAATTGGAAGAACGGATTTTGAGAGGAGTTTTTTTTCACTTGTGGGTGAAATCAAATTCAGATAGCCTCTGCTATAACAGTAGAAAGATATTTGATTAAAGTTTAATTATGGTATTGTTATTTTCTGACTAACGTCGAAGATGAAAATATTATAATTCAATGAGTCTTATAGTTAAAAGTTCAAATCTCTGATAAGTTTTGTGTCAATGACCAATTTTCAGAGAATTTGATAAAGATTGAGAAATTTATATTGCTAGTTTTCCGCTGCAATAAAGTTGATAATGATGATTATTTTCTTAGCAAAGTTACTTAGTAGAAATTTTATCATCATATTATTTATGAGTTATATGCGTTTTTTCCATTTCTGCCCAACGGTGATGTGGAATTAATGTAAAAAGGTGATGTTTATTCTAATTCTGTCACAACAGTGATTTCGAATATAAAAGAAAGTTTTACAAAAGTTTAATGTGCATATTTTTTAACCAGACCAACGTAGGGTTATTTTTATGCTCATTATTGTTGATTATTGGCTATGTTTCTCAGACTAAAAGTTATTCATGCTTTCATTCATGAAAGTGAATGGCTGGGTACTTGTGACCCAAAAGATGACTAGGAAAGGTCATAACGTGAGGGAGTATATTCTCTCTAAAGAATGGCTTCAAAAGAAAAGAATTTTTGGATATTAATCCAAGAGAAGAAAACAGATAGAACATTGAGAGTCTTGGTTGACGAATGTCTTTTATGTATTCTATACGAAGAAGATTTTCCAGTCAACATGATTTGAGATGAAACAAGCAACATGCGTGTTTAATTTGACCAACGTCGAATCAAGCATATGTGTCAAAGAGCATTAGGATTTATTTATAAATTTGATGATTGAATATGTAGTCAAAAGAGCAAATTCTAGCATTTATGTCCCTTACATGGAATTACCCGCATTGCAGGAAAAGATGATTATGATAAAACCCGCATGGCAGGAAAAGTCTGGGAAAATCCCTGCGTAACCCGTATGGCGGCAGAAATTTTCTCAGACTTATCCTGTATGACAGGAGAAAGACATGATGACTCATGTGATTTGTGTCCCACTCTGGGAGAAAAGTATGGAGTAGCTATTATGCTTTCCTAGTATCGACCATACATCTTATGTGTAATGGTCATTAAGCACTCAATAACTCCGAAGAGAATAAAAGTTACAGACGAACCTAAAGATAAGAATGATATGCAAGTGTGACTTGCAAAAGTACTAATGACAAAGAACTCTGTTGAGTTTCTGAAATGGAATAAGGGAAAAGTACTCTCATACCAGTTAACAGATAACTTCATTACATATGAAGTAATCAGATAAATGAAGTAGATACTCAAAGTTTCCTCTATTCACAAGAGTTGTGAATGGTCTTTCGAAATTGTGGCAGAAAAGTTCTTGCCACATTTCGAGCGGGAGAAAGAAATATGAGATATCCATTAATGAAAAATGTGATCGTCTGGGGGAGTACGATGATCATAATAATACCCCTTAAGGAAAGAAAACTAAGGAATACTAAGATGGTGCTTAAAGTGCCATAAAGAAGAAAGTTTTAACAGAATAAACCCAAATAATAAAGTTTAAAGATACGCCATTCTTAGTGAAGATGGAGTAATCTGGGGGAGCATGGTATGAAGATACCTAAGACTCAAATAGATTGTATCTGAGGGAGCATGTTGTATGACCTATACAACATCCGTTGTTAGCTCTATAAAAGAGGAATGATTAAACATGGATCTTGTGATAAAGGTCCCTGTAAAACCTATTGCCTCTTGGAAGTGAAAGACTATACAATTAATTTGCCTCTTGGCAATGACAGAGCAACAACAACCCCATATGAAAGAAGTGCCAGTACCTGAGACACAGATGGTCTCAAGGAATGAGAAAATCAGATACTTCTGATTACTATAAAGTCTATGTTAGTGAAATTCAAATGGAGGTTGATCCCACCTCATTTAAAGCGCTCAATCGAGTTTTGAGAAGTGTCTGCTTATCTAAATGATAAGAGACTATGTGAGATGAAATGAAATTGATGAATTCTGACGATGTTCGGGACTCATGAGTAATTTCCAATGGAGCCAAAACAGTAGGCTGTAAAGAGTCTACAAGGTCAATGTGACTCCAAAGGAAATATGTAAAGGTGTAAAACACGACTAAAATCGAAAGGTTTTTGCGCATTTTACACTGAATAGATTACAATGAGTGTTGGTAGCACATCATGATCTGAGTTACATCAGATGAAAGATATTATGATATGAGTTACATCAGATGAAAGTAAAGAACACAAGGGATACTGCCTGAAGAAGTCTTTTATGGACTAAAGCAATCAAATGTTGTTTTGGGTTAAAGAAAATAAGAGGATAATTGTGTTTGTATAAAGTTATAGAATGGGAATTTCATTTCCTATATCTTGTACATGCGGATAACATTCTGCTTGTTAGTAGTGATGTTAATTTGACTGCAGGAGGAAAAGAAGTTCTTGTCCTCAAAGTTCAAAAGAATGTCTCTCGTTATAAGGATCGAGATTCACCGAGAAAAGAATAAAGGGGGTATTAGGAGTGTCGCATTGGCATGCTAAGGAAAGTTTCTTAAGTATGCATGCGAGAAAACCTACACCTGTTCTTATAGTAAAGGGTAATGATTTTGGGAACTTTAGTGTTCCAAAAGTCAATACGAAATAGACCAGATGAATATGGTACCATATGCTTCAGCTGTTGGAAGCTTAATGAATGCAAAAATATAACATTACCGTGACACAGTTCACGTAACCGGGTTGTTTTGGTAATGTCCAGTCC